TTGTGCTGGCCATCCTTGAATTTGGTGGTGGGCACCCTAGGTAAGGGAAGCTGTCAAGCAGGAGTCCTATCAGACTTTGTTGGCTGGTAGGACTCTGGAGGAAGTTGAGGAATATCAGCAGGCAAAGCAGATCGCAGCCCGGGCCATAAAAGCTTGCATGTGGGAGGAGTTTGGTGAGGCCTTGGAAAAAGATTCTCAACTGGCTCTAAGGAGATTTTGGCAAATCATCCATTGGCTGAGGTGGGGGAAGCAGCATGTCACTACCACTGTGCTCACTGAAGGTGGAGGGCTGCTGACCACAGCCAGTGATGTTATCGGGTGGTGGCAGAAATACTTCTCTGACCTTCTCAATCCATCTATCACGTCTTCCATGGAGAAAGCTGAGTCGACTGTCCATWATAGGGGCTGAGGTAGTTAAGCTCCATGGTGGCAGGGCTCCAGGGTTGGACAAGATACGCCCTGATTTCTATAAGGCTCTAGATCAGGGGAGCACAATTTGAAGAGTTAATTCAATCACTAAATCAGATGTGTTGGAGCTGGATAACCTATAAAACAGGCAGGATAGCGACCCTCGAGAAATGGAGTTTGACACCCCTACTCTAGATGTTGTCGGGCTGTCTTGGTTGACATGCCTTTGCCACATTGCATAAAAAATGGGGGAAGTCCCACTGGGTTGGCAAACAGAGGTGGTGGTTCCCTTTCTCAAAAAGGGGGACTGAAGATGTGTTCCAGTTATGGAAGCATCACTCTCCTTAGCCTCCCCAGTAAGGTCTATTCAAGGGTACTGGAGAACAGAGTCCGAATAATGGTCGAACTTCAGATTCAGGAGAAACAATGCAAGTTCCATCCTGGCCGTGGAACACTGTGACCAGCTCTTTAGCCTCACTAGGGTCCTTAAGGRAACATGGGAGTTTGATAATTCAATCTATTTGTACAGTTTTGTGGACTCTATCAGTCTATGTTCCTATCCTCACMTATGGCCACAAATTTTGGGTAATGACTGAAAGAACAAACTGTGGATAGAGGAGGTCAAATGAGTWTCCTCTGCAGGGTGGCTGGAGTCATCTTAGAGATAGGGTGAAAAGTTCAGTTATCCTGGAGAGACTCAGAGTATAGTCATTGCTCCTCTACATCCAGAGGAGACAGTTGAGGTAATTCAGGCATCTGGTAAGGGTGCTTCCTTTATGCCTCCCTAGGGAGGTGCTCTARGCATGTTCACTTGGGAGGAGACTCCRAGGAAGACCCAGGACATGCTGGAGAGACTATGTCTCTCGACTGGGAATGCCTCAGAATCCTCCCAGAATAGCTTGAAGAGGTGGCTGGGGAAGGAGAGGTTTGGACCTCCCTGCTCAAGCAGCGGCCTCAGAGACCTGACTCTGGAACAAGATCATGGATAAATGGATGGATGGATTTTAGCAAATTAACAGAACTGTGCCCACCACTAACAATATCACTAAATAAGGCCAAGCGTATTTACTGATTCTCATCTGTCCCTTTCCCATCTTACTGGAACTGTTTCCTTGTCATGGTAGTTTTTCTTTCACAGCATAAAATAAATGGTTCAGACTCAATATGTCATTCATCTTTGGTAAAAACAATTGTCATTTATCATCTCAACTATCACAGTTCTCTCCTCCTGTTAAGATCTGCATTTTTGTTTGTTTCTATACTATATTTTAAGTCTTTGGTAATGTTTATGTTCCTGATTTAGTCTTCTTTCATATTTCTTTGTTCTGCCACACCCACCTGAACCTGACCCTGTTTGTCCCTACACAGGCGTTTATATCCTTGGTCTGTGGATTTGTTCTTTGGTTCAGTATTGCTCCCTGTTTGTGTTTGTTCAGTTACGTTACTTGTGTCTAATCCCCACGAGTTCCATGTTGGAAAGTRTGGTTTTGAAGGCACATTTGTTTTATAAGTCAGAGTAAAGAGATCACTGTCTGCACTTTGGGTCATGACAACCTGCAAACAAGTCATCTACTAGAATTCCCAACTTGTACAGTGAAAAGTCTACAATAGCAACATTGTGAGTCTGTTTGGTCAACCCCCCCCCCCCCCAACCCCCCCCCCAAATAAAAACTGCTTTTGAAATTGTCATCTAACTGAAGTAGCCAGAATGCAGACAGATTCTGCTCCATTGCTGTGTTTTCTTAGCCTGGCCCTTGCCTTCCTGTGCAGCTCCGCTCAATTCTAGTTTCCCTTCTCTGCTCCATCTGGGATTTCTCCCATAGATAAGGATTTCTTCAGGAGAATTTTTGTCGGGCCAATCAGAGAACAGAACGTCAATTTTCTGTGCAGTGTCTCTTGTAGTTTATTTTACCTGGGCCAATCAGCAAACAGAAGGTGGCGTTTTGAATGACATCAATTTTCTGCTCAGTGTCTGCTAGTTATTTTAGCATACGGCAGTGGAGGAAGTGACTGAAGCCAGTCTGTGTTGATAAGGCTTCCAAATTAAAATAAAATTTGTCTGACAAAGCAGCATCTCTTATTTACAGCCGTATCGTTCGGCTCGGTACTTCTCTCCTCTCAGTAGGGTTGTTTACAGCACACTCAATTTCCGGTTAGCTTCTCAGTTTAGCCTCCTTCACAGCGACACACATCATGGCCAACCGATYCAATCATTTTAAACTTCAACAGAGGCCACGCCTCCAGCAAGAATCACTTCTCTATATATAGCCAGACCCTCGACAAAGCAAAGTGAAGGACAAGGGTCTGGTTTTTACTGYTACTGTTTTCTCTACATTGTTGAGGGTTTGGAGACGGGAATTCACAAATATTTTAAATTTTTTGTTTAAAGACGTCTGTTCTGACCTTTACTTTCTTTTTAAATAGATGTAGCATTACTATGTGAACTCCTTTGTATCCAACAAATAATTATGGCATTTAAAAATCATTTATATTGTCTCATTAAAGATTAAAGAAAGGTGTTCATCAATAAATTATTGTTAGAATGCTTGTAATCAATTTGTAAAAATTGTGTATAACACTGTAAGCCACACACTATAAGCCAAAGCTTATTTTTTGTGCTTCTTTTCAGCTTCTTTCAAGTAGTTTATAGCCAAGTGCAGAAGGCACAAATGAATGAGAACAAAAGGAGGCATGGGGTTTGATTGGCAGTTGAAAGGAAGGCCACAAAAGGTGAAGAAATATCAGTACAAGAGCCAACAGAGAGGTGTGTGTGTGTTTGTGTCTGAATGTGTTCATGGGAGGCATGATGGAGTGTGAGAGAGAAATAGGGAAAGTAAAAGTAGGAGACCAAAGAGAACTGAATGAMAAAGAATGAAAATAGAGGCTGAGAGGAATCCTGATTTTTCATTTCAGCTGGTAGACCCAATGCTTCAGGATCAGACAATAAGGCCTGATGACTTTGGGAAGCTCAGGCAGCGTAAGGCCTGGAAGATGGTGGGAGGATGATAAAGAAGGTAAGAAAATATCTCAGTGAGGAACAAAGCGAKGGGGAGGAAAGAGAAATGATATGGGAGTAAATAACAGCAACACTAAAGGACAGAATTCAGACAGATTGAGGAACCATTTGGGTAAAAAAAAGTGGGAAGATTTTACTGCTCATGGCAATGTGTTGGTGCAGTTGATTTAATGTTGTTTCGAGTCACAAAACAACCTTTCCTTAGGCATGAACAGCCAAGTCAAAGGTCAAGGACAGCATGGACAGATGGTCAGACAGACTCATGAAATGCCTTCTTTAAACAATCCCTGTCAGCGGTGAGTTTGTGTCCTTCACCCCAATCCTGTATGAGTAGAATTAAAACATGTCCTTCCCAGCCTCCCTCCTTTCTTCCCCCCTTCCTCCCCCCGTCTCCTCTTTTCTCTCCACCCCCTCTCTCATTAAAACTGTGCGCCTCAGCTTCTAATTAAATCCCACTTGAAAGTCTTAAAAGTCAGGCTCAGATTGATTCAATTTGCATTTCTGAACAGGGAACATTGCCTAAAAGGATTAATAAACTGGTTGAAAATACCTCTTTCTGCAGTGAGCTGTTGTTGCTTGTAAGACAACACCCCTTCACCACTTCTTTTCCGTGCATTCTTTCACTCTTTTCAACACGTTCACTTTCACTTATTTACACACACACATACACATGCAAGACCCTAAAAGCAGTGAACCTGGGGTGCCAATCATTCATTCATTCATTCATTCATACACACATGCACACACACATACTTGTCTGTGATTTCAACCTTCACTTGTCAATTGAATTCACGTTTAAAAAGAAATAATAGGTAAAACTTTAAAAGCAGAGAACACACACACACACACACAGTAGCAGTGAAACCCTGTTTGGCAGACATCCAGGTTTTTTGGCAGAACGTGATGGAAGCCTACAATGAAGGTTGGGGGGGGGGGGGCACACAAAGCAAATGAGAAGAAAAGTGCTGGTGTGTGAGTGTATGTGTGTTTGTGTGTTTGTGTGTGTGTTGGGGGAAGTAAACGCTCAATTGATACACGCTGCAGAATTAAAACAGCAGAAGGGAGTTTGGCACAGAGACTTACGGCCAAGCTGATGACGTGCTACAGATGAACACTTGGGTGATGTGCTGCTGGTAAAAATTAAAACATTTTTCAAAAAACATGTGTTTTCATTATTATACTGCAAAGAAATGTACTTTGTGTAAGTATATGTCAAGTATACTAATGTCTCACTCTGACAGCAACAGACAAGATTATCCAGCATAAATAACATTATTATGTTGTTGACATGTTTTAGTTTTTCTGTGCTGTTTATTTCCTCCCTTTGTTATTTACTTGTTTTATTTAAGTACTGTCCTTGACTGTTTTGACAAGGGCCAAAAAATGTATTATCATAATTA